AATGTTCTTGCTGATTGGTTATCTAAAAAGGGGCTTAATGGTATTATGATTGGTGGTACACATCCTTCTTTTCATTATACTCTTATACAGAGTGATTTACTAGAGGATCCTTTCATTCGAGCATAGATTTACCTATTCTATTTCTCTTATGATTATACTCCCTGAAATTATTGTGGATGGCTTAAGAATCGGTAACCCGAGTTTTGGGGTCATGGCTGTTTTTGGGCATTATGTGATACCTCTCTTACTATTGTCTTCTCTGTTGGAATATTATTGGTTGGATAAGGGGGTTTGTCTCAGTTATTACTTGCATAATTTTCATCACCAGGATATTTGTGTGCTAAAGGATTACTTTATTGTAATGAATGTTATTTTTCTGGTTTATGTGGTCTTTCACAGCACTCTATTCCTCTCCTGCCCTATGCACTCTCTGCTGTTGGATTGCCTCCTTCTCTACTTTACACTCTTATATATTGTGATTTACTGGAGGCTCCTTTCATTATAGCCTCCATTTATTTGCTACATTTTTCAACTGATTGAGTTTTCTGAAACCACTGTGGTTAGTTTATGTGGTATCTATGTGGATGGTATGAGAATTAGTGACCAGAAATTTGGGGCCATGGCTGCTTTTGGGCATTATGTTTCTCTTTTGGGATGCAATGGTTTCATCCCTCAAAATTTCCCTCTGTTTATGGCAATAACGCCTTCCAACGCTTGTATATGGTTTCTTGTTCACGATAGGGTCATTTGCTACCTGCACAGTTTTCTTTAGCAGGATAAGTGTGTGCTTAATGTTTGCTTCATTGTTATGGATGCTATTATTTTGGCTTCAATTTTCTTTCACAGCTCTCTATTCCTATCCCACTCTCTCTGCAATTGAGTTTCTCTTTCACCTGTGCTATGTTTACTTGCTCTGTTACTGCTACCTTTTGGATAAATGTTGTCAGTGTGTTATGGCTGGAACTTCTCAGTTGGTATGCTGCATTTTCGTCCTGGGTTTGCTTCATTGCAACGATACTCTTTTTGGATGGCATTGTCAGCTACTTCACTCACTTTCTAAGTCTACACAGGCTCATTAGCCATTTTTGGGAGTATACGTTTTGGTTTGGTATACTTGTACATGTTCGGGTATACATTTTGTTTTTGTTATACTTCATTTCTTTTTTTTTGGTTTTGGGTGGAGTTGTATATGGATGAGGATCCTCACTTTGAGTCAGTTTTGTATTTTTTTTTTGGTTTTACTAGTTGAGGATCCTCTACAATCTGAACTCTTGCACAAATTTTTGACTAATTAACATGTAGGGAGCCACATAATGCTCCTTTAACTGCTATATATACACTTATATATATATATATATTAGGAAATGTTTAATTAAAAAATGGCTTTAATTGAATCTTGATTACAGTTATGAGCTTATTATCAAATTTTAAATGTATTAGTCAAATTTTTACTAATACACTTCTCAAGAATTTCTATCTTTTAATTTTTCTAGGATTCTTAAGTTCGAAAATTTATAATTAGTTTTGAAATGGATAGAAAATTATAATTCCTAAGTTGCACTGTCACATTTTTGGTGCAAAAATATAGGAATCTTTAATGGAACCCACTACCTATGCTAATATATTTGATTTTTAAAATAGCAGAGTTACTTGAGGACAAGTAATAGTGAAGTTTGGGGGATTTTGACATGTCCTTTAATAGATGCATTTTCCATTATTTTTTCTTATTTAATTTTGAAAATAATGCACTTTAATGAATAATATTTTCATGTTTTTGGGTGCAAGTATAATAGGAGAAGAACCAGATTGAATTGGAGCAAAAATGGAGTGAAACGGAGCAAATTGGGCTAAAAAAATTTTTTTTTATCTGCGCCTAAGTGTCAGTCTACAGAGAAACAGGTGCCTAAGCTCCACATCTTGGTGCCTAGGCGCCAGTTGGATGTAATGAGCTCTCGAGAAGGTGGTGCATAGGCACCACAGTTGGGCACCTAGGCACCATAGTTGGGCGCCTGGGCGCCAGAACTGTACAGAGTAGTTTTTGATAGTTTTTCATATGAATTGGGGCTAAATTAATCAGATATTTGAGTTGATGGAAGAAGAGAAGGGGAGGAGAGTCCAAAGGTGAAGGATTGTGAAGGCTAATGTGTAGGAATTTGAAGAGAGAGTTAGATTTTCTTTTATTTTCTATTCTTTTTCTTTGAGTGTTGTGTGAATTCTGTAAGGATTGGTGTAAAAGTGCTAAAGATTTTGGAGATTTTCTTGAGGTGAAGTTTATTTTAGATTTCAATAAATGAGATAATTTTTCTTTTCATTTTATTTTGTACTTAGTTAAGTTTAATGGTGTAATACTTGTATGTGTTATAAATGAATGTGTTGGCTTATTTTTTATGAAATTTAAGTAGTTCTTCATTCCTTTCTCCTTGTGATGTGGTATAATCATGTATAAAATTTAGATTTTCTTAGAAATACTCTTATTTTATAATTGTGATGATTTATTACTTTGTGCTTAATTTACTTATACAATTTAACCAATTGATATGTTAAATCTTGTTGTGGACTCATAATGACTCGGGAGAGCTATGATTTTCCTTAACTAGTAAGAAACACACCGATCGATTGGGTTCAGAGAAGTAGTTTGTAGGTTGGTGCAAATAGATAGGGAGATAGACTTTGATAGGTGTAAATTAGTGATTTTAGGGTGATAGACTAGAATCTTAAGCAATTTGATCTAGGGTTTAAGAACTTAAAACTAGGTTAGTCAAATTAAGGGCACTAGTGGGTACTCTAGGGTGACAGACTAGAATCTCCTCAACAAAACCAATGATTTAATGACTTAACTCTAGGTTAACCAAGTTTCTTTGTGCACTTAGAAAAGGGTAAAGAATAGTTATGTTCCTATTTGTCACTAAATTTCTATTAAATTTCTAAGGAGTTGGTTCCTACGCTAATTAGATATCGCATTGCAAGGGGAGGGACTTTATCATAATTTGAACTCTTTTACTTCCCTTTTACCTAATGACCATTAGTTTTTTTTCTTACTAAATTTAGAGATAATACTTAATTTGATATAATTGAATAGAAATAACTTAACCCAAACTTATTTTTGGGCTAAGACTAATTACAATATTCTAGAACTTTTCTTAGGTATTGCTAGTTAACCTTACTCCTCGTGGGATCGATATTCTTGATTTTAAAGAAAATCCTACATTACTTGAATGATACGTGCACTTGTGTTTCATACCTAGTGAACCCTTGAGATCGATAATTATAAGATACATTTTAAAAATAGAAAATTCCTAAATCACTAGGTGAAGCCGCATATTAAGTACTGAGGCAATCATCTGCAGTGTGGTTAAGCTGGGTTTCAGTGTAGTCACATCGTAACCTGACCATATTTGTTTTGGCAAGAATATTAAATCAAAATTGGCAAGTGCTACATAAGGCTATGCGTTGGATGCCCTATGGGCGTGTTTGCAATTTTGGAGAGACTTCTTAGAATGGAAGTGAGCATTCTACTTCAAAACCTAGGGTTCTTTTCCCCATTTTCTCAAGGGAGGGAACTTCTAGAATATTTTCACTCTGATATTGGAGATTATTTGCGAGAAAAATAGATGATGTGATATTTTTAAGGATGATCATAGAGAGAATGTCATTACACGACGAGGATTAAGTCTATTGAGGAATATTGACTTGTTGTAAGGTTTGCACTTTCTGACGCTTATTCTTCTAAGTTGACAATGAAATTATTCATATTTTTTTGCTTTATCGGCCGTAGCAATTTTTTTTCTTCTGTACTCCTATGATTTGAAGATAGTTTTTTCTGATGTTTTACCTTCAGCTTTTTTCTGCTACGTTTCAGTGCTTTTGAACTATATATGTTAATGTGATAAAATTTTGATCATGTTTTACTTCTGTCCTATACAATTAGTTAATTTATTTTTTTGTGATCTAAGACAACTAATTGTGACCAAGAAGAGTATGTAACACACAAAAGCTTGGTGAAATAGACATATTGTTAGCAGGAAACTGCAACCGAGATAAAGGATTCAACAAATCCTTGGAAATGTTATCCAGTTAAGTCCCTCTTAACTGTAATATGGTTTTCACACTTCTTATTACTTAGACATAGGCTAAGATAGATTGTATTTTATTGTGAGTAATCATATTAAAAAAACTTATTGGAAAACATAGAGAAAATAATTACCGGTGCCACGGGAGCATGGGACTCATCTCCACTTAAAGACTAAACATTGTTAATTGCTATTTTTTTCCTACTTCTTTTAGGATTGTTAGATCTTCTTGTATGCATTTTGATCTCATCAAATTAGATTCAGTCGTTTAGTAAGCTAAAACTTCTCCTGTCATAAATATTTTGATAATATTCTCGTGAGATCGAAACTTGGACTAAAAATATGTATATTAATTGATGGAAATATATACCTGCATGATTGACTGTCTTAGGCGTTGCTATGTGCTATTCATGGCGCCACCGTGGAAGACAAAGTCTCTGACAGAGATATTGGTTATATAATAAGTTTAAAATTCTCCTAAAATTTATCATACATTTCAAATTATTCTAACCAAACTTCAAAATTTGTAAGATTTATAAATGCGAAGCACTAATTTTTTATCAGCCCAAGTGGAAGACAGTCTAAATTTTGGTGACTAATACAACATGCAAATAAAAAATAAAATAAAATAAAAAGTCTCTTGCATTCCATATTTTTCAAATCAAGAGTCCTAACCGTTCCTCCTTTATTCAATACATCAATTTATATACACCCAAACAGATGTCGAAGTCCAATGCTATCTACATCAAGTGACATTTGTGATTACACGTCAACAGAAAACTCCAATAGCCAAATCATGTTATTTTGTTTATACGTCCAGCTAGCTAAAACTATAACCATATATTGTGACAATCTCCACCTTGTCCACTGCATATTAAAATCCCCACTAAATATACCTTCCTTGTTCGTAAACTTATGAAAATGAGATCAATGAAGGTTCACGAAATCGAAGAAGTCATCTCCGTCCATAATATCATTGGCTCAACTGGTAACTCCTTATGGCAACGCAGTTTTCTTCAGAGCAGCAAATCAAGGGAGGTGAAGGATAAGATAGGCTGGGTTCGATCACAGCTTATTGGAGAAGATGTGAAGTTAACGACTCCCTTCGGTAACCGTAGGCTCACATACGCCGATCACACGGCCACCGGAAGGCCCCTGCTCTGCGTAGAGAACTACATCACCGAACATGTCCTCCCTTTCTATGGGAACACTCACACGAGCGACAGTTTCGTGGGACAGCGTACGACAAGGATGGTTAAGCAGGCTACAGAGTACGTGAAGAAATGCGTTCGGGCCGGGCCGGATTCTGCAATCATCTTCTGCGGGTCGGGTGCAACAGCCGCTGTGAAACGGCTGCAGGAGAGTGAATCGGCTGCAGGAGATGATGGGTATAGCGGTTCCATCGAATTTGAAGGAGAGGGCTGTTTTAGCGGAGGAGGATAAATGGGTAGTGTTTGTTGGACCATGGGAGCACCACTCTAACCTTCTCTCATGGCGTCAGACAACGGCTGACGTGGTGGAGATCGGCCTCGATGATAATACTGGTCTGGTCGATATGGAAGAGTTGGAGACTAAGCTTGGCCGCATGATGCGCGCTAACCGGCGCATGTTGGGCTCATTCTCCGCGTGCAGCAACGTCACCGGTGTCCTATGCGACACGCGTGCAATCGCTCGACTGCTGCACCAATATGGTGCTTTCGCTTGCTTTGACTTCGCCACCAGGTGAGACTATGAAAAGATAAATCATTAAACAAATTTTTAAATTAACAAAACTATCCTGCCACTTGAAAAAAAAAATCGATCAATGACATTATAACCTGGTCAAATGATTTTTTATTTATAATTTCGGTAATAAATATGTAGATACCTAAGATTCTGAAATCCAATTTTGGTACCATCCAAACATAAAAAATGTGAAATAAATTCAACACTTTGTTAAAATTAAATTTTCTTTTTACGTTAATTTTCTTAATGTAAGTATAATTTTTAGGTGAATTAAACGAAATTTGTGCACAAAAAAATAAAATCCTCACAAAATGTCAAACCTAAGAGATGAACTTAAGCGAATTTAAGGGTTGTGCATGTAAATTTTTTTGGCAGCACTAACTATCTGTACAAACTTACAATTTCATTTTTCATTTATGAAACTCTTCCAACTTTTGCATATTTGTAATTTTTTTTTCATAGAGTACTAAAATCTATATAATCTTAATAATATATCTGAGCGGAATATCATTTAATCTTTTTTAGATCTATATTTCCTTATATTACTATATTTTAATACATCTATGTTTTTCTTTCGTGAAGTTTTAATTTTTTTTACATCTAAAATAAAATGATATATTGTAACGATTAAAAAAAGTTTTTTCATGTTTGAAAATAAAGAATATCCTTTAAATCCTACTTTTTTAAGGCTAACATAACTTTATATGTTAGGACCATGTTAATTTATTTTATATTTATATTGTAGACCAAGTTATAAGTTAAGATTATCTTGATTAATTATTAATAATTATAATAAAAAATTTTTACTACGTCTAATTAATTTTTAAGATGATGATTTGAATTGACTATATTTATATTTATTGTAATTTAAATCTTTATTTAGAAATATATTAATTTTTTGCAAAAAAATAATAATTTCACCATCCTGAACATTCTTAGAAGCTAATTGTGCATACATATTTAATTACATTTGATTTATATTTAAATAACTATAAAGTTAATAAGTTGTATATTTAAATTTAAAACTTAATAGCCCATAATATTTCACATGTGCGAGGAATGAATAAAAAATTCATAAAAAAAATTAATGTCCCAGAGAAAGATGTGTTGTATGTTTTGAATATAATAAAAAATGTGCAAGTAGCGATGCACTGAGTGTCTAGGTTTGCACATCATGGACAGATGTAGATAGGAGGTAAAAACAAATGTAATGATATTTAAATTTGTCTTTGTTACATATATATATATATATGAATAATATTTTCA